GTGTTAACAGACTAGGTATGCAACACACAGAAGCAAACTAACACTGTAGCACAATGGTTGATAAACTCCAAAACCACAGCTACTGGGCAAGAACTTAATATATGACAAAAACTGATGAGAAAATGGAAAACTGTCTGGCAGAAATTAGGTATAGATCAGCACCATATACCAAAAAACTCCAAATGGATTGTTGACCTAGACATCAAAAGTGCCATCATAAGCACATCTATAGATAGGGGCAGAGTTCATAGTCAAACAAGAAATAGTAACACAGAAGATAAAATGGACAATTTTGATTATTTAAAATCAACAAGGTTTTGTACAAATAAAACAATGCAGTTAAAATTAGAAGGAAAACAGGTAACTGAAGCAAAAAAAAATCTTTGCAGTAAGCTTCTCTGATAAAAACTTCATAGCCAAGATATATATATGCAACTGATTCAAATGTACATGACTAAGAGCCACTTCCCAAGAGATAAATGGTCAAAGGAAGAAATATAAGCTATCAACAACCATATGGAAAAAAAATGTTCAAAATCATTAGTGAAATGCAAATTAAAGCAAATCTGAGGTTTGATTGACAAAGATGATGAAAGAGGAAACTTGTTGGAGGGGCTGGGGTGGAGGAAATAGGCACACTGATGTACTTTTGGTGGATGTGTGAATTGAGCTAGACATTTTGGAAAGCAATTTGTAACTATGTCCAAAAAGTTACTAAATTATATATACCCTTTGACCTAACAATTACACTACTAGGCCTATAACCCAAAGAAATCAAAGACAAGGCTATATGTGTTTTGTTTGTGTGTGTGTGTGTGTGTGTGTATGTGTGTGTGTGTGTGTGTGTGTGTGTGTGTGTGTGTGTGTGTGTGTACAGCTCTAAAATAGCTCTTTTCACAGTAGCCCCAAACTGGAAAATAAGGGAGGGCCTACCTATTGGGGGTTGGATAAACAAATTATGGTATATGAATGTAATAGAATATTATTAAGCCATAAGAAATGATAAAACAGTTTCAGAAGAAACTGAGATTTGTATGTAAAGTGAAGTTAGCAAAGCTAGGAGACCAATTTATACAATGACAACATTATAGAGAAAATCAACTTTGAAAGACTTTTCTAAAGTCTTTGACCAATGCAATGATAAGCCACAAATATAGAGAACTGAGGATGAAACATTCCACATGCCTCCTGCTAGAGAGATTTTGGATTTAAAATGCAGAATGAGACATACATTTTTGGACATGACCAACGTAGGTATTTGTTTTGCTGAACTATGCATATTTATTATGAGGGGTTTTATTTTTACTTTTTAAAAAAATGGTCAATGGGGGAGGTAATGGAAGGTGAAAAAATTCCTTCTAGAAATAAAAATTTTAAAAAGTTTTAATAACTGAGAAATGAGCTGTTAAATATATTTACCTTTGAACTTTGCTTCTCAGTTAAATGATGAAGTACTCTTCCCCCTTCCTTCTTTCCACCACGCATTCCTCCTCTTTCTCTTCTCTCCATCCCATTTTTTGTAAATGTAGAGGATGGAACATTGCACATAATGTTAAACTTTTTCAATATATTAGTTTGCTAAACTGTTTTTATAAAACTCTTTTCATTCTTTGTTATAAGGAATGACTCTTTGGAAAGGGAAATAACCTGTTGGGAAATGTAGGTGATGTAAAACCAAAATATATCAATAAAATTTTTTTTGAACGATGGAGTACCATGTAAAATTTGTCTATCTGGCTGATATTTTTGTCATTAAATGGATAAATTTAGCCTAAATGTGAGTATGCAAAGGAAAGAAGAAAATGTGCTGACTTCAAGTAATTCAATGCTTTCTGAAGAAAACTTAAAATATAGAGATCACAAAGGACCTTGAAATGTTTCTTCTTATTTCTAAGGCAGATCCACAGGGGGAGGTGTGGACATTTGGATTGACTTTAAATCATTTCTCAGCTCTTAAGGATAAAGGCAAACCCTACTTTTCCTCCCCAGCTACTGATATGTGACTTAGGTGTGCAATTGGACCAGCATCCTATAACCTAAAATCTGGTGAACTATCATCACTAAAGGTTTGGAAATTGGTAAAGCAGGAGTATCCAATAACAGAAGAAGAAACAATAAATCTGTTATGTTTTTCATAGTCTATAATAGTCATAGTCAATAAATATTCATTAAGAGCCTACTGAATGTGCCAGGTGCTTTTCAAAGTGCTAGGGATAGAAATAAGTAAAATAAAGTCTCTGCCCTCACGGAATTTACAATCTAAAGAGGGAAGACAATACACAAAAGGAAGCTGAAAAAGAAGGAGGGTACCTGAGGAGATCTGGCATGGTGGGGAGGGGTGGTGGGATGATATTTGTGGAGTCAAAACCAAACAGAGCCACATCCCTTTGCAAGCTGGGAATATTCTGGGTACTAACAAATGCAAAGAATAAATGTGAAGGACTTCTCTCAAAGGAAAAGGGAATGTGGGTGTGTTGGTCATCTACCCTTGAACAGACCCTTTCTGTACAACTAAGTCCCTCTTGGTGTGGGGTATCTTGAGTGGGATGAAGTCCACAAGGGTACCCAAGGTGGGTGGGTGTGCCTCAGGGGACCTCAACATCTAGCAAGGCTCAAAGCAGACTCAGCAGCCACAATGGATTCAGTGCTCGGTGTGCCCCAATCAGCCCATTTCTTTCTCATTCTCTCTATTGCTCTCAGGTCAAAAGGAAAATGTCTAGGATATGATCTAGATGTGTAAATAATACATATATCCATGTACCCTGGAAAATAATTAGTAGCAAGCTCTCTTTCTCTGGCTCTACCTCTACCCAGTTAACACTGGGAAAAAACCAAAAAACTCCTTTACTCACTGGGCTTTAGCTTTCCCTTTCTCAATCCTACTCCAAGCATTTAGTCAGACAAACTCATGTTAGATAACCATCTGATTTGTAAAGTGTAACAAACACACAGACCCTTCACCTTGGCTTTGCACTGTCTCTCTCAAGGCCAGATCAGATTTTGGGCTTCCGCTCTTCAGGAATCACTATGGTAGTTACAGGGAACTCTTGCTGAAATACAGTCAGCACTGACTGAGGAACCCAAGACTCTGGGAACTCCTGAGGTAGCCACTTCCTTAAATAGCATCTCATGATTAGCATTTGGTTACTGATGCTCAAGAAAGGGAGCAGCTGAGTGCCAGCACTGGAGTCAGGAAGACCTAAGGTCAAATATAGCCTCAAACACTTAAGTCATTTAACCCTGTTTGCCTCAGTTTCCTCATCTGTAAAATGAACTGGAGAAGGAAATGGCAAACCACTCCAGTATCTCGGCCAAGAAAACCCCAAATGGGGACAAGAAGAGTCAGACACAACTGAAATGACTGAACAACAACAACAGCTTAAGAAAAGAAATACAAAGCCAAAGAGGCCCAGGTTCACATTTGCCTAGGCAGTGTGTGTGTATTAGAAGCTGCTGAGAGTGAGGGGGAATGGTTTTCTCCTGACTCTCACGGGAAGTATGTGTGTGTATGTGTGTGTGTGTGTGTGAGAGAGAGAGAGAGAGAGAGAGATGCCACATTTTTTTTTAAAGGAAAGAAGCAAGAGGGCAGTCATTCATTTTAAACTGATGCGATGCCCTCTTCCATCCTACTCCCTACCCTGAGGTGGGAGAGAACCAAGGACTGACCCAGGATTTGCTTTGTCATCCATCTCAAAGTACTTTAGTGTTGAGTGTTGAGTTTAGTGTTTAGTGTTGAGACTACACATGACCCACTAGAAGTAACTCAAGGTCCAGCAGATGAGAACTTTCTTGGCTATTCTCCTATTACATTAATATCCAGCAGCTTGGTGGCACAGAGGATAGAGATAAAGACCTAGACAGTTCAAATCTGACCTCAGACACTTAGCTGTGACCCTAGGCAAGTCAGTTAACTTTGCTTGCCTCAGTTTCCTCATCTGTAAAATGAGCTGGAGAAGGAAATGGCAAATCACTGTTAAGTATCTCTGCCAATAAAACCCCAAAAGGGTTCATAAAAGAGTTGGACACAACTGAACAATAAGAAAAAAAGCAAAAAAAATAAAGAAAATGAAAAAAAATGTTTCAATCTGCATTTGGACTCCAACAGTTCTTTCTCTGGAAGTGGACAGCATTTTTTATTGTAAGTCCTTTGGAACTGTCTTGGATCATTGTATTGATCAGAATAGCTAAATTATTCACAGTAGATCATCATACAATATTACTGTTACTATGTACAATGTTTTCCTGCTTCTGCTCACTTCATCAAGAATCAGCACATACGTCTTCTCAGGTTTTCCTAAAACCACCCCCCTCCTCATTTCTTATTACACAATAGTACTCCATCACAATCACATACCACAATTCTATGCAAATTAAATGAGATAGTTAGGAAAAGGAGGTGGGTCGGGTAGAAGTTAGAAGATCTTATCCTGGATATGTTGCATTTGAGATGTTAATAGGTCATATAGATGGCAAGGGGCTAGGTTGGAGCTCAGGTCATCATCGTGTGAACTGAGACCCTTAGAGAAGGAGGGTATAAGTTGGCCCGGAGATAAAGACCAATGAGCTTGGGCAGGGCACTTAACTTGAGAAAGGGGGGAATATGACCCGAAAGCCGGTAGAAAACCCCAACAAGACTCCAGCTGGGGTGATGGAGACTGTGCTGAGGGCAAAGCAATGGTAGGGACTACGTTAAATGTCAGCCGGTCATCTTGGGACAAGCCCAGCTCCCGAGCCAGGCTCAGAGAAGGTGCTCGGGAAACGCGTGGGGATGATGGGCACAAAAAGGATGAAGAAGAACTGTCCTGGAAAGGGCACCCAGGGCGACCCCGGCTCTGGAGTAACTGCAGAATCCTAGCCCAGCCAAGCACCGAACTCTCCCTCCACCTTGAACTTGAGCGTGCTCTCAGGCTCCTCCTCTTCTTCTCCCCCGCCCCTTTCCATTGCGCTTGCGCAGTCCTTTCCTTTACTATTGGCATGTGGCCTGGTCCTTTTGCTTCCCAGTCCTTTTTGCCCTTGGCTGAACACTATTCAGGGATAGATGAAAAGGCGAACGTACTCGGTGGGGTTGCGTTAGTGGTACTGGCATTTAGGGAAGCTTCCTCTGCTGTTCTCAAAAGGAACAGGAAGCGAGGATTATTTACCTTTACCAAGATGGCGGCAACCCTACTAACATAGCCGCCACCACATCTCTCTCCCTTCCTCTCCTCGCACTATTAGTTGCTACAGGAAGTGTTCCTGTGACGAACCGGAAGGGAATGGGCGTCCTCGCTCGAGACCCGGAATTGGAAGTATTTCACGAAAGTCGGTTGAGGCCCTGCGGCTGCTGCCGTCGCCGCGGAGAATACTGCGTTGGAGCCGGCGGCCCAGGAATGGTGAGACTTCCCCCGCCCCGTGGTTGGATTCCGAGAATCTGACGGCAAATAGAACGCAGTATACCACTAGGTTTGGGGGCCCGCCCCGGTAGCGCCCCGAAAATCTGCGCATGCGCTCACAGAACCGGGCCCCGGGAGAGGGTACGCATGCGCAAACTCCGCGTGCCGGGGGTGAACTCAGTGGCTTTCCCACGCCCCCTCGGGGCTTAGCTCTTTGGCTGTAAGTGACGGCCCAGATAGGTGAATTTATTTTCACCTGGTTTTGAGCTGCTTGGGAGGAGGTCCTTGCTAGCCCACGAAAATAAGCTTCTCCCCTTCTCCGCCCCCCCCCCGCCCCACCCGGGAGCTGTGGGTGAAGATGGGGGGAAGAGAGGGACGCAGAGGGAGTCGCAACTGGGGGTGAGCTCCCTCAGGGTAGTGAGGGCCTAGGGCTGATCCTCTTTCCCCTTCGGGGCCTAAAGTCTCTCCAAGCTGTATACAGTGATGTTTGGCCCCAGGTGTTTTTTCTGAAAAACCATGCCTACTCATATACCTGCTTGAGGAAAGAGAGTTTCAGTCCTTTCAGAAAAGCACAGCCAGCCCCGAACTTGTCCGGTGAGGCAGCGTGTTGCAATGGAAAGGGTCCTGGGCTTGGAGTCTACGGGACTTAGTTTTATTACTAGTAACCTGTGATCTTGGGCAAGCCCTCTCTGGACCTTAATTTATTCATCTTTCAAATGAAGTGGTTGAATTAGATCACCCCTTCAGTTCCTTCTAGCTCTTAATCATCGATCACATTGCCGGGTGGAAGAAAGACCTGGGGGAATTGAGAGCCGTAGAAAATCCCAAGAGCTTCATTTGTAGCCAAGAGCATCAACATCCTCTCTCCTGCAAATCTTTCACCAGAGCTCCAAAGGAGAGCAGAGTAAAGCACCTGAAAGGTTTCATCACCTTTTAACTCCTGTCTGCCTTATGGTGGAGTTGCTAACACACAGCCTTACATAGGAAAGGAGTAATCCAGGGTAGTAAGCTGGAGTTAATTCATAGTTGGCTGAGTCAGCAGGGGTGAAAGTGATAGAATGTAACCTTCTCCTTCTTCCATGGAACCCTAGAGGGCTGAAATTCTGACAGTCAAAGATGATTTAGCAAACGGGGGTCCCAATTGTTTTCTGTCCTCAGGGAATTTGGAGCTAGGATGGGCACCAGTTTAGGGAAGGGAGGTGGGAACTAATTAGTCAGGCAACTCCATCTTGGGGAACCACTTTTCTTTTTTGCAGACTTCCTTCTCAGCCTCTCAACTCACCCTGTTTGAAGCCTTGGATGAACCTGTGGGACTCTTCCTATCCCTTTGGTTTGGCCTTAAGAGACTGGAAGGATGGACAAAGGTAGTATCAGATCAGATCAGCTCCCCTGACTTACAAGTCCTAACACATTAGCCCATACATGCTACAATTTTCTCTTAGTCCTTATTAAGCCTCACATGCTTCCTGGGCCATCCCCTACTCATCTCACAGCAGGGGCCACATTTGACTCTATGGAAATTTAGCTCCAGTTTAGAAGTGGCTACATTTTGGTGACAGATCTGTGCCTACAACTCCATGTTGGCATCGCTGTTCTGACTTTAGCACCCCTTGTATAGTATAATGTGTGATCTCAAGAAAACTGCAGAATTTAGAGATCAGGTTCCCATCTTCAAGGACTTCTAAGGCCGTATCAAACATTCAGATAACTGAGAAATGGGGAAAAAGAGGGCAAAAGCATTGTGGGGAGGGGTCCTCTTCTGTTGGGGATGAATATCTTATGTGGGACAGTGATATAAAATCAGATCTTTCATTCCCCCTTCCTCTAGAGCCTCAGGGACTGTTAGATTCATCTCTGATGGCATCTGGCACTGCCAGCCGCTCAGAAGATGAGGAGTCATTGGCTGGGCAGAAGCGAAGCTCTTCCCAGGCTTTGGGCACTATTCCCAAGCGGAGAAGTTCTTCCAGGTAGTAACGATTATTGGAATAAGAGCGGGGGGGGGGGGGTGTTGGCAGCATCCACAACTCCCAGTTCTCCCCTTCCCTCATACACTCTCAAAAGGAGATCGAATCATGAGTACGTGAGACTTTCTGGGGCTGGAAAAGTTCCAGTTTCCTCCATTGCCAAACTAATTTGCTGCTGAGAACAAAGGAGGATAGATGCTGTCCTAAAAGCATCATTTGTATAGTAACAGATGAAAAATTCATTGACACCTCTGTGGGGGTAAAAGGTGCTAATCAGATTAGACACCACCATAGGGGAGGCCAGTACCCTACCATACTCCATTCCCAACTCTTGAAAAATGTCTGTTGGATCCATTAACCTCTATCTCTTTCATGAAATGAGGTTACAGTAACTAAATCCCTGGAAGAAACTGCTAGGTGTGAGGGTAAGGAGGTGATAACTGAGGCACATTCTTTTTAGGTTCATCAAAAGGAAGAAATTTGATGATGAGTTGGTGGAGAGCAGCTTGGCAAAATCATCCACTCGGGCCAAGGGTGCCACAGGAGTGGAACCAGGACGTTGCTCAGGGAGTGAGCCTTCTTCCAGTGAAAAGAAGAAGGTGAGGAGAAGGCCTGGGGACTCCCTTAGCTTTCCTATTTATAGTGTTAGAGCTGGTTTTCCGTCAGTACCTCTTACCTTCAGGTAGAAGGCCATTTTTGATTTTCAGGGGCTGAAGAGTAAGAGCCAGGAACATTCCACTCCAGCCCAAACTCCTGCATACTTAGAGGCAGTTTGTTTCTTCCAACTACCCACTTTTTCAAATCCATATCCTTACCCAGAACCTCCTTCCTCTCTCTCCCCTCCCTTCCCCCCCCCTTCCCACTCATCCTGTATAGCATCCTGTGTAGGAGGCACTAAGCATGTGTCTATTCTTGGAGCAGGCAGCCCGTTCCCAGCAGTGCTGGGGTGTAAAAACAATTTCCAGGTGGCATTGCTCTGGCCCTGGGCACTGTGCCAAAGGTAGCATTCCCCTGGTAGTCATGAGGAGCGTAGGGAGGGAAACATTATCAGCAGATAACAGACCCCATGCTGATGTCAAGGACTGCTTTCTACCCCCAAGTGCATAGGAATTGGGGAGAAAAGGGGTAAAATGTGGAGTAACTGTGGCAGGTATGCTTACTCTCTGGATTTCCTCCGTGACTTTGGGCTCAGCTCAGGCCCATTGAAGAGAAGAATGCCACAGAAAACAGACAACTCTAATCTGGTGTTCACTTATCCTAGGATACCAGTTTTGGAATGTATTCTTCTAGTCAGGACAGTTCCACTCCTTCCCTCTACCCCCAGCCACATTCAGCCCACTCCCAACTTCCTAGGTATCCAAGGCATTGAGCACACCAGTACCCCCCAGCCCAGCCCCTGCCCCTGGCCTCACTAAGCGCATGAAGAAAAGCAAGCAGCCACTACAGGTGACCAAGGACCTGGGCCGCTGGAAGCCAGCAGACGATCTCTTGCTCATCAATGCTGTGCTACAGGTATCACTACCACATGGTTCATCACCTGTGTCCCTTCCCACCCCACCCCCTCACTCCCAGCCAGACCCGGGGGATTCTTGCAGATTAGCCTGTTGTCTGGCTATCCCAAGGGCAAAATGGGAACTGCTATAGGCGATCTCTCCCCTGGCTAAGATTCTTCCAGTAACTAACTTCTGGGGCCTTGCAGACCAATGACCTGACATCAGTCCACCTGGGTGTGAAGTTTAGCTGCCGTTTCACCCTTCGGGAGGTCCAGGAGCGCTGGTACGCCCTGCTGTACGATCCTGTCATCTCTAAGTGAGTATGGTAGAGACAAGTAGGGGTCAGAGAGGGACACAGGACTTGTTTTTCTGCTTTGTATGATTAGGGGGAAGGATTCCTGGATCACCTTTCTGATATCCTTATTCCTTATATTTTTTGAGAATTAAGTGATCAAATTAGGCAACCAGTTTCCATTGTGGAGAAATCCTTTCCCCCAAATCTTTTTACTCCCCAGGAGCCCATAGGTTCTGAATGGGACCTTCCTGTTCTCTTCAGGGCATCATATGATGATGGCAAGAGAACTGGATTAGAAGTTGGAAGATGTAAATCTTAGTTTTATTTCTCCCACTAATTAACTGGGTGATCCTTGGCCAAGTCATCTACTTTCTCTGGGCTTTAATTTCATTGTAAAATGAGAGGAGTGGCTTCTTGAGGGCGTGAGCTTTGGCCATCTTTCTCAAAAGCTGTTAGCTCCACAGATGGAAAGATTCTCAGACTGCCCACTTTAAATGGAGTTGGGTATCTAGAATTTGGGTCCTGATGGCCGTTGAGTACTGCTAAGAGGTAGGAACCACAGAGGACTGTCCTCCCTTCCCCTAATCCCCACTCCTCTCCTTTTCTCCCTTCCAGGTTGGCCTGTCAGGCAATGAGGCAGCTACACCCAGAGGCCATTGCAGCCATTCAGAGTAAGGCTTTGTTCAGCAAAGCTGAGGAGCAGCTTCTGAGCAAGGTGGGATCGGTAAGATGAGGGGCCAGTGCTTGGGTGGGGGGGGTGGGAAGGGAAGCAGGTGGAGTTGGTGGGAGGGGAAGGTGTGGTGTTGGGCAGAATTGAACTTGTACCTTGACCAGATCAGTCAGCAAGCAGTTATTAAGCACCTGCTTTGTGTTAGGCACTAGTAACATAAATATAAAAGTGAGACAATCCCTCCTCTTGAAAAGAGTTTATATTCTATGTGGGGAAGATATAGGTTGGTCAAAGAAAAGTTAAGTACAGGACATACACAAAATTCAATACAAAATGATTGAGAGAAGGATACTAACAACTGGGGGAGTCGGGAAAAGCTTCTTGAAGGAGGTGACATTTGAGCTGAGCCTTGAAAGAAACAAGGGATTCCAAGAGGCAGAGGTGAGGGAAGGCATTCCAGACATGGAAGGCAGCCTGTGCACAAGCATGAAGGTGGGAAATGAAATGTCACGTATAGGGAGCAGCAAGCAGACCAGTTTGGCCCAGGTTAGAGGGCATCAGACCTAGTAGGCAGCGTATTAAGCCTTGAAAGAGTTTGGGCTTTCAATGGCAAATGGAACAGTTTGTTTTATTCTAGAGGCAAGGGGGACTCGCTGAAGCTACTTGAACACGAATGACGTCTTATTTGTGCTGTAGCAAAATCAGTTTGGCAGCTTTGTTTAAGGTGGGTGGGCAGGGGAGAGATTGGAAGCAGAAAGGTGAATTAGGAGGCTATCGTACCAATCCAGGCCGCAGGGGATAAAGACCTGAGCTAGGGTGGCAGCAGTGTGAGGGAGGATAAGGGCGATATTTGCAAAATATGTTGAGGTAGAACTGGCAAGACTCAACAGCTGATCGAACATGGGAAGTGAGTCAGAATGAAGAGCTCAGATTAAGTATAAGGTTGGGAATCTGAGTGACTAGAAGAATGTTGTGCTTCCAACAGAAATTGGGAAATTAGGAGGAATAGATGAAGGGAGAAAGATGGGTTATGTATGGAACATGTTGAGTTTGAGTTGCCCATGAAGCATCAGGTGATGTCCCTTGGACATCTGGAGATGTGGGACTGGAGCTCAGGAGATAAAAGAGGGCTGGGTATGTAGGTTTGTTAGTCATCTGCATAGAGATAATAAGTGAATCCATGGGAATTGAAGTTACCAAGAGAGAAGAGAGGACCCCCCAGGGTACAACTTTGGTGTATTTTCAAGGATGGCGGAATGTATGTCTGTTGGGGTTGGTGGGAGAATAGAGGGCAGGAAAGGGCCATGGACAACAATACCGCAGAGTAGACTGAGAACTGATCAGGCAGGGAGAGAACCAGAAGAAAGTGGTCACAGAAACCCAGAGGAGAAAAAGAGCACCAAGAAGAAAGGGGTTCAAATACTAGAGAGGAGAAGGGTAAGGGTGGAGAAAAGACCATCATTGTTTTAGCAATAAAGAGATCATTGGTGACCTTGGAGAGTATTTTAGTCCAGTTGCTGTGTGGGGACAGAAACTAAATTGGAAGGAGTTGAACAGTGAATGGGAAATGATAAAGTAGAGGCAAACCAGAGACTGGAAAATTGAGGATCTTGGCATCAGAAAGGACCTTAAAAATCCATATTTGAGTGGAACATTGCTGACCAAGTGAGGGGTTATCCAGCTTCTTCTTGAAGACCCCCCACGGACGCATTGCCTTCCAAGGCAAACCATTCTCATTGGTTCTCATTGTTAGAATTTTTTTCCCTTTATATGTTGAGCCAAAATCTACCTTTGCAACTTTTCCTTATTGAAGCAAAACAAGTCTAATCTCTTCTCACTTTCTGGCTCTGTATATCTCTCTCCACATGTGTATGTTTTACACACGTGCACATACACACACACACACCTCAATGTGTATGATAGTTCTTTCTTATCCAGTACAGACTAGGTGGGCTTGTGTATCAATGACATTCAAGTATAGGCATGTTCCTAGCAACAGCTCTTCTAGTTTTGACCAGCACTTTAATGGGGCCCTTGGGGAGGTTGTGGTTCAAGTTAGAACCAGCTTCCTTGAGTTCTGTTCTCTTCCCCTACCCTGTGTGGCGGAGGAGCTCAGACTTCTTTGGGTGCCGCATGACCTTTGTTCCTCCAGGCCAGCCAGCCCTCCCTGGAGACCTTCCAAGACTTGCTGCACAGACACCCCGATGCCTTCTACTTGTCCCGCACAGCCAAGGCCCTGCAGAGCCACTGGCAGCTCATGAAGCAGTACTATCTCCTAGAGGACCAGACAGGTAACCAACTTCCCTGAGGAGAGGTGCAGCCCTCCTGCAGATCCATGGGGAGAGGCAGCAGAGAAGGCAGCTGCTGGTGTGGTGGGAGGGGTCTGGGATGATCTGAGAACAATTTCCACTACGACTGCTCTGGGATGGCTATGAGCCCTATGCACAGTCAGTCCTGGGCATCAGCACAGCCACAGACTACCCACAGTATAGCATAGTGAATAAAGAACATCTGGATGAAAGTTAGAAGACCTGGTGCTGCCCTCCCCCATGTTAAAATCATTTATTACCAAAGTAGGCATGATTTAATGTTTGGGGGTTTCATTAGATATTTCTCAATTGCGTTAACAGTTTTTTTCAACATTCATTTTTAAAAGTTTTGAGTTCCAAATTCTCTCCCTACCTTCCCTCCACCCCTTGAGAAGAAATCAAGCAATGTGATATCAATTATAAATGTGAAGTCATTGAAAACATTTCCATATTAGCCATGTTGCAAAAGAAAACACACACACACACACACACACACACACCAAGAAAAATAGAGAAAGTGAAAAAAATATGCTTCAATCTGCACTCAGAATTGATCAGTTGTCTCTCTGAAGGTGGATAGCAGTTTTCATCATGAGTTCTTCAGAATTGTCTTGCATCATTGTATTGATCAGAGTAGCTACATCTTTCACAGATGATCATTACAATGTGGCTGTTACTTTGTACAGTATTCTCCTTGTTCTGTTCACTTCACTTTGCATCAGTTCATGGTTTTCCTGAAAGCATCCTGTTCATCATTTCTTATAGCACTATAGTGTGCCATTCCATGGTTGGTGGGCACTGCCTGAGTTTCCGATTTTTTGCCACCACCAAAAGAGCTGCTACAAGTGTTTCTGTACCTATGATTCCTTTTCCTTTTTCTTTGATCTCTTTGGAATACAGACCTAGTAGTGGTATTGCTGGATCAAAGGGTATGCAGTTTTATAGCCCTTTGGACTTAGTTCCAAGTTGCTGTCCAGATTGTTTGGACCAGTTCACGGCTCCACCAACAATGCCCTCATCCCCTCCAGCATTGTCATTGTCCTTTTCTGTCATGTTAACCAGTCATCCTGGCCATAGTACAAACTCATGCAAAGCATTTCGCCTCTTTGGGCCTCAGTATTCTTCTCTGTAAAATGAAGAGGGCTGGACAAAGTGAGCTCTAAGGTCCCTCCCAGCTCTGGTTGCTGTGAAGTATGTTCCCTGAAAATAGGTAAGGAAACCTGAGAAAAGAGGGACTGCTGCTGCTACTGAATACATATGCCACCTCACACCTCTGTGGTCTACTACAGGAAGAATGTGTCCTTTCACTTTGATAAATTAGCACAAACTTACGTATATCTCGTTATAACATGTTTTTTACTGGACTGTAAAACAGCGTGTTATGTAGCCCTTTGCTTGTGGGGTGCTTGTGAGGATTGAGTGAGGTATCACAGCCACAGAGACTGATGTCTGTTGTTCTGTGGCCTCCCTAATCCGGCTGGCCAGCGCAGCTGCCTCTAGGTGTTGAAAAGCTCCTACGGGAGGTTTTCTCTCAAGATGCCAAACTTTATTGGAGCCTGGCCTTCTGATGAATCCTGCAATCAATTCAAGGGACAGCTATCCATTTCTTGGGAGTGGCCCAGCCTAGCTTCCTGGTTCTTCCTCAGAGTTCAACAGTGTAAAATACTTAGGGAAGCAGAAAGAACTGAGGCAGGATAAAATTTTGCTATTAAAAAAAAATTCAGGCTTGTCACGCACTTCACAAAGTCATTACTAATTTGAAAGTTATTGTGTATAAACTTGCCTGTTAACTAGAACTCTGTCATTTTTTAAACATTCTTTTTTTTTTGAGTTCTAAATTCCCTCCCTCGACCATTGAGAAGGCAAGCAATATGATACCCATTATACATGTGAAGTCATGCAAAAAAAAAAGTATTTATATTAGCTATGTTGCAAATAAACAAAAATAGAAAAACAATATGCTTCACTTTGCACTCAAGAGTTCATTAGTTCTTTCTGTAGAGGTAGATAGCATTTTTCATCATGAGTCCTTTTCAATTTTACTAGATCATTGTCCCAAACAGAGTAGCTAAGTCTTTCACAGTTCATCACTGTTAACAATATTGCTGTTACTCCATGCTCTCCTGGTTCTGCCCACTTCACTTTGCATCAGTTCATGTAAGTCTTCCCAGGTTTTTCTGAAAGCATCCCCCTTGTTATTTCTTATAGCACAGTAGTATTCCATCACAATCTAACTATCATTTTAAAAGTGATATTTTTGCCTTTTTTCTGTCTTGAGGTTTTCATACCTAATTACTCCTTAATTGAGGAATATTTCATTGCTGGCATGCTTTCCCCTGGGAGTGGTGAGGGGAATTCTTCTAATCCACATTAAAGTATAAATTGTTGATAACAGATCCATCCTGTCTCTCTTTCCTTTCCCCTTTTCCCCTCTTAAATCATATTTAGCCAATACATTTGTAGTCTGATGACTACAATCCCCTTCTTCCAGCTTGGAATAGGGCAATGGGAACTAGGCCAATCTGGAATCTGTCCTAGGCCTCTCTAAAGGCTCCTGAGTGTGTCGCTTTAGGGGATTGAGTCTTAGCTCTCTAATAGAGGTTACCTACAGCTTAAATGTTCTCAGTGTGTCCATTTCACAGATTCACCCATCTCAGCCTCCATACTGATACTTGGGATAAAGTGGATTCTGGAATTCTAGGGACAGCTTGGGTATCACGTAAAGTGGGATAATACCTTCTCCTTTCTGCGGGGCATATAAACTTTCCCTTCCTGCAGTGTGATAATAATTATGCATACCATTCCAAGGGTCCTATTCTTTATAGTGTGTTACTCACATAATGTGATTATCTCATCAAAATTAGTGTTGACCCTTTCTGTGTTCTCCATTCAGTGCAGCCACTGCCAAAGGGAGACCAAGTGCTGAATTTTTCAGATGCCGAGGATCTGATTGATGATAGCAAGCTCAAGTAAGCAGTTGGGAATGTGGGGAGGCTGCTTTTTTCTGCCTTGGGTTGGGGTTTTACTTGCCCATGTGGGAATTTGGGGGTGTCACTCTCCTCCCTATCCTGAAAGTTCCCTGATTCCTTCCCCCAGGAGGGTTGTGGTTATCAGACAAAAGTGTAGATGGGATTGCACAGATGATATGATTTGAGAGGGGAAAAGGGGAAAAGGAAAGGGAGAAAGGAAAGAGGTGTCAAGCTGGAATTGTAGCAATAGCTTCTGGGTCCCTGTTGAGTGAAATGGATTGCTGCCTTTGCTTAATTGCCCCCCATCCCCTGCAGTCTGTTTCCTTTTGGGTTTCGCTAGCTTTACGCTGCAGCCTTGAAGTCCCGGGCTGGGTCCTTTCTGCCTAGAGAAATAGCTGTACTTACATAGCTCTCTAGACCTCTTTGGCCCTGTGGTGGTAAGGGGAAAATCTGGGGGACCACTTCTCTGTGGGGTATATGGTTTGGGGCCTAGGTCTAACTCATTTCTCTCTCCATTGCCTTATCGCCACCACTCAGGGACATGCGAGATGAGGTGCTGGAGCATGGTGAGTGGCCTGTTACAGCAGAGGATGGGTGTTCTGGGGCTGAAGGGCAGGGAAGGAGGCAGAGGAGGGAGGCTGTTGTGAAATCTGGTATGAAACCTGAGGGCAGTAGTGTCACTAGCTAGGTGGCATCCTGGAGGAGGAGTGTGACAGGGAGGACTCTGGGGTTCACTCCCTGCTCCCCTCACCTCTTTGGGCCCACCCCTCATCCTCAGAGCTCACAGTAGCCGACAGACGGCAGAAGCGGGAGATTCGGCAGCTGGAGCAGGAGCTGCATAAGTGGCAGGTGTTGGTGGACAGCATCACAGGTGAGGACCTTTCCTTCTCTCCCACCAGTCCTTGCCTCCCCTAAGAGAACTGCTGGGCTTGGGCTTTTTCCCCTCCCAGTATCAGAGGGCGAGTCCCATTCCGATTTTCTCCCTGGGCTCCTGTGACTCAAGTAAACTGGATCGTGCCCCTGGATCTTTGGGCACCTGAATCATCTCATAGAACAGACAGTGTGAACCAACGCTGTGACTTCCCCATGTTCCTGTGTGGTCTAGAGGGAGTTAAGGGCAGGGTTTTCCTGCAGAGGCAGACTCTTCTTCAGCCCTGCTCCTTCCCCAGGAATGAGTTCTCCAGACTTTGATAACCAGACCCTGGCTGTGCTCCGTGGACGCATGGTGCGATACCTGATGCGCTCCAGGGAGGTAAGGAATCCTCTCACATTTTCCTTCTCTGCTTCATTATTTCTCTCTCCTCCTCTCTTCTACTTTTCCTTATCTTCTTCCATAGCTTGACTTACAGCCTCTCCCTCTTGGTGTTTCCTCAGATTACCCTGGGCAGAGCTACCAAGGACAACCAGATTGATGTGGATCTATCCTTGGAGGGTCCAGCCTGGAAGATCTCCCGAAAACAAGGTACCCCCAAGAGTCAGAGCAGAAAGGAAAGGCCACTCACCTTTTCCACTAGTCCCAGAAGCTCTGGGTTCTGGTTAATTTGGGTCCTGCCCAGATCTAAGGTAGAGAGGCCATTGAGATGGCATCTTGTGGTCCCTTCCATGTTTGGGAGCCTGAGGGTCTTTCCCTCTTCTGCTTGGGGGAAACTTCTCTCTGGAAAACTGGTGGATGGGTTTTCTTGGCCTAGCTTTCTCCACACTTCTCCCATTTATCTGTCCTGAACCTTAGGTGTCATTAAACTGAAGAATAACGGTGACTTTTTCATTGCCAATGAGGGTAGACGGCCAATCTACATAGATGGGCGGCCTGTCCTGTGTGGCTCCAAATGGCGTCTCAGCAACAACTCTGTGGTGGAGGTGAGATGGGTGGGGAGGGAGGGGTTACCGAGAGAGAAAGGATTTGGGGCTACCTAGGACCCTTTCTGTTTCACTGCCTCTAAGCCCTACGAATGACCTTTCCTGTTGCCTACAGATCGCCAGCCTGCGCTTTGTCTTCCTCATCAACCAGGACCTCATTACTCTCATCCGGGCTGAGGCTGCCAAGATAACTCCACAGTGAGAGAGGACAGGAGCCAGCCAACTCCTCTCTGGCCTCATGGCCTCTTTTTTTCCACAACAGCCTTGCTAGCCTGGGAAAGCAAGCTCTTCAGAGATTCCTTCTATCCCCTGGAGTCTGTGGTTGGAGGGTGTCTCCTAAAGCCCCAGATGTGGTTGATTGAGCCCCAAGGGAGGAAGGAAATCCTGACTCCCACAGTAGGAGGTACTAAAGGGAGACCGAGTATCCTTATTTGGGCCAGGACCCAGCATCCCATCCTTTCAGCAAGGTCAGTTCCACATTCTACCCAAGAGGCTGCCTCTCCCTGACAAACTTTTCTCCTTTTGTAAATAAAGCACCAAGCTCCAAATGATTTCTTTTATTGTTTTTAAAAAAAGCGTTGGGAATGGGGACGTGATAGCTGAGGTTAGGGATACATGCAGGGAACACAGGGGCTCCACCCCTCCAGCCTGCAGAGGGGAAGTGAAGAGGGGGAAACAAACTAGGACTGGACACCCCAAGGAAGCAGCTCCCTTTTGCCACTAGGCCCTTGTCCCCTGGGCCCTGAATCCTGACCCAGTGGTGAGCTGGGCCTTTACTCCCCTGCCCAGGGCCCTGAGCCAGCAGGAAGGATGGGCCTGTGTGGCACCTGCCACCCCTTCCTTCCACCTGGGAGGGGTAGGGTAGCAGTGTGATGGGACAACACTGAGTCTTGGGTGTAGAACAGTTCAGACCCCTGTCCCTTCCTCCTGAGACCACTGGACAGTGCTGGAGCCATGACAGCCGATCAACACCATCTCGAGGCTGTGGGGATCCCAAGTCAGAGACAGGCTGCCTGGCCCGGGTGGGGGCTCTCCAGTGCTAGTTTCCTCAGCTTGGCCTGAGGAGGGTTCCTGGGGCCCAGCCCCAGCCAGCTCATCAGGGGGGGGGGGGGAGGCAGCTGTGCTAGGCCCAGGGCCAAGTTCTGCAGAGCCCGGGGGCTCCGAATCTGACATAGAGGTCCAGAAAGCTGTAGCCTGGGGCCAGGGAGAGCTCTGAGAGGCTGGAGGGCCCCAAGGCCAGGGAGCCGTGAGGGGTGAGGGGCCTGGCTGGTGTCGGGGGCAGACTCCACTGAGGAAGGATCCGGCTGAGGGCTGCAGGCAGTAGGAAGGGGCACCAGTGTCCACACAGAGGGGCTGCAGGAGTCCAGACGCCCTTGATGGGCAAGGACCCTCTCCTGCCCTGGGGGATAGCCCCTCCCCATGGGGCACCAAGAAGAGCTGCACCACCTGTCGAAGGGACTGTAGCCCTTCACGCATGTGTAGTACCTGTTCCGACAGCTCAGCCACCTGCCCAGGGGTGGGGATGAAGGGGTCAGAGTGCCCAGCCCAGGCCGTAACCTCCCTCCCTTCCCCTCTCCCTTCTCCCACCTCACCCCAGGGACAGGGGCACTGCCCCTTCCACTTGCTACAAGTTCTAGTGGTGGAGGGATTACCCTGTCCCTCCCCTCCCCAGTTGCTTTATCTCTCCTGCCCCTCACCCACCGCTTGTTGCAGCTTGTCCAACGTATCTGTGCTTCTAGCCTCACTGGGCCCGAGGGGGATGGTGAGCAGTCCACTCTCTGCTGGGGGGGAGGTTGAGGGGAGAAGTAGGGCTGGGTAGGGCAAGAAGGAAGGCCTGGACCTGGGCCCTGGTCTGCCCTGGAGCACAGGTGGACAGATCTGCCTTTATAATAAAGGCAGGAACCATCCTGGCAGGGAAGCACAAATCCAGCCCCCTGCCTCAGATGCGGCAACATCAACTACCACACACCTAGTAATCTTATCTCTTATTTTCAAGCAGAACCTCAACTGACAGCATGGACAACAAAAAATCTTCCCATTGTTTTAAGTTTTCCAGGAAACAGATTCCTATTTTTTCCCAGTGTTCTTCACTATCACGAGATTCTTCCATCTCTCTGACACCCCTTCCCCGCCCCAGTTGGCAAAAGAACTACCTACCATTCTGTAAGGTCCTTTCCAGCTCCAGATCTCTGGTTCTGTGACCTGTTTAGGAGCCTGTCAGTCTGACCACCTCCCTCCTGGTGCCATGTCCTCCTTCTGACTAAACCTGGTTCTTTCCCTCGGTCTGCCTTTAGGTGGTGACCCCACAGCAGAGCTAAGTAGGGGAAGACAGTCTATGCGTACAGGTGTCACTTCCCTGCCAGTATTTGGGCTGGCTTATGGCTTTAGGGATAGAGGAGAGACCCCTCGCCCACGATCCCATTTCCCGCTCATCCCCATACCTGGACCTGGGGAGGGACTCCTGCACTCTGGACCAGGCTGTCCCACACGAAAGGTGAATTTTGGCTGATCGGATCCACAGCCATCCTCAATGCCATCCACGACCCTGTGGGCCCAGTTTTCAGAACAATTAATACATTTCTGTTCCTTACCTGTGTGCTCAGTACCTGTGATAGGTATGAGCTGTGGGGTACACAAGATGTTGGAAAAGATATTCTTTGCCCACTGGAAACTGACAATCTCATTGGGAAGACAGGACTAGTCTACTCAAAACAATAAAAGAATAATATAAAACAGGATGGATTGTGTGGTACTGACAGATGCTATGGCAGTTCAGAATAGATCAAAGAGGGCTGGAGGTTTCATGGAAGGGAGGATAGGAAAGGTATTCCAGGGGAAGAAATCCATTTAATCCCCAAAATAGGATTAAGAGAAGGATGTTCATGAGCCCTTTCTCTCACCTCTATCCAGATCTCCACATCCCACCCCACCAAAAAACTCTGAAGTCTGGCTCTGTACATCTGTCTAATTTTTCACCCCTAAACTACCTACTAACACAGATTCCTGTCCATCTATGGCCTCTCCATATTTTCCTGACCCTGATCTCTAAGAGAGGTCTACCCTATCCTGAGTAGCCCCTTCCTCTGGTCCAAGATCTCTATTACCTCACAGTCCCTTCTTTCTTAGTAAAACCTCCCTTGTTTCCATAGGATCAAGAGCTGGTCAGCCCATAGATTTTAGGGCACTTGATCAGTCACATAAGAATGTGAAAGCACATAGCACAAAGGTCTTGGTTGTATTATAAAAAATTAAGAATGAATGCTGCAACATTGTCTTTGGTCTGATTCTTAACCTTTTTGACTGTCTAGAATCAGGATCCATATGGGGAAGGAAGGAAGGAAGGAAGGGAAGAATTTATTAAGCACCTATGTGCCAGGGACTGTGCTGAGTACTTTACAAACATATCATTTGTTATCATTCAATAATGTGTATTTCCTCAGAAAGATCAGAACCAGTGAGTAGATAGAGAGAATGTACCTCTGTTAACCATAGGAAGCAGACCAAATTAAGACAAGTCACCCTTTTGTTTACACCTTGACCTGAGTCAAAGAAGGAACATGAGTTTTCCTGGAAGTCAGCTCTTCCCCAAGGGCATATAAGACATCATTAAAATTATGATTGTTCTATTCAGTAAAGCAAAAACAACTCAAATGAGGTACTTTGGTTTTCCATTGTTTACCATGACTGTCAAATATAAAGTGGAAGTTGCTTGGGGAGAGAGGTTATTCTGATTATTTAAATGAATTTATATGTTAATAAATTGTCTTTGACAGATTTTGGTTAAAACATAAAATACAGAATTTAAAAAATTTTCCACAGGTAGTAACAGAGATGGGCCTCTGATTCCAAATTCAAAACACTTTCCACCATACTATGTTGCCTGGCTAGAGAAGACTTGTGTATGGGGACATCCTATCTTGTCTTAAGTGGGTAGGAGTCACCTGGAGTCATGCCCCTTGTCCATCCAATGTTTTTGGTTATTTCCCCAAGGGGCCCCCAGGACCACATATTATGGCCCCACTCACCTGGGGCTTAGGTCAGGGGGGGCATTCCAGGACATGGAAGGCAGCCTCAGTCCCTCCAAGCCCAGTGAGCGTGAAGCACGTGCGACCTCAGCTTGTGCCCCCCCTGCCTGGCTCAGCCGTCCTCGGGCACCCAGGCGGGACGGTGGGGCCGCCCGGCGAGGGGATAGCAGCTTGGCAGCCGAAGAGGCAGAGGCACAGCCTGGAGACAGCAAGGGGCTAGAAGGCTCATCAGCTGGGGTGGGTGAAGCTGTAGGCCCTGGCTCCCCATCTGTCTCTTTCTCCTCCAGCGTAGACATCAAGGTATTGTCCCCACTCAGTGAGCTCGTGTCAGCCTATAGACCCCATAGACAAGTGGGAAGATAGGTGATGATGTCAAGTGGCACTCCCTTACCTTTGGTAGCCATCTTATAACCCTTCTGAAGGCTTCCCTTTGCAGACCCACCACCCTTCAGGTCCATGGTCCTTCCACCTTTGTTTCCAGTCCTTCCCTAGGACCTACCCCCTGCACAGGCCTTTTACCTCATTATGGCCTGCACCAGCCCCTAGGTTGTAGCTGAGCTCCCCACGGAGGCCACGGCTGAATCGTGGGGCAAACTCGGGGTAGAGGGCCAGGCTTTCATGGAGTCCAGCCAGCTGGAGGCACTGCAGCGCACAGTAGGTCAGGCCCTTCACATCAGCGTTGGCCTTTACCACCTGTTCTCGTTGGGGTAGCTCGCAGCCAATCAGATCACCCTTCCCTAGAAGGAAGATCCCCATGAGCAGAACACAATTTGGCCCCTTCCTTAACAGCCTGGAAGCATGAGAAGGGAAGATGAAGGGTGGAGGGCATCCCTCCTAGGAATAATGGCGCACTACCCTTGGGCTAAGGGAGGGTTTTGTGGAGGTTTTTTGTTTGCTTGTTTTTGCCTAGATATTCTACAGAGGTGAGGAGACAGAGCTGGGATAAAAAGAAGGGGAGGATGAGACATGGAGCCACAGTCTTTACTCCAGTGTGGCCCCCACTGCCTCTCTAGACCTTTAGCATCTCCATCTCCTAATATCCTTTTCATCACCTTCATTTTCCTCTCTCCTCATTGACCCAACATACCTAGGGTGGTGAGCAGAGCATAGAAACATACACAGACTCATAGAATCTTGGAACTGGAAGGAATCTCAAGTGAGAGTTCCACCTCCTTCCCAATGGATAAATCTTCACTTCAGCATCATTGGATGTCTTCCAGCTTATGTTTGAAACTTCCAGTGATGGAAAACTCACTACCCCATAAGTAGTGAGCACAGTCCATTATTGCACAATTCTAATGATGAGAAAGTTCTTATGGTAAATTGAAATCTGCCTACTTGTAATTTCTATCCACTGCTCACATCATGGTTATATTGAGCTTGTGATCACCTAAAACTTCCACTTGTCAATAATAATAATAATGATGATGATGATGATGATGATGATGATGATGATAAATAGCTAGCATTTATATAGCACTTTAAGGTTTGCAAAATGCTTTACAAATGCTATTTAATTTTCGGAA